TTGTGACTGGCTTGCCGTGTGAGGTGGAGAAATGAGGCTGGATCCGGAGGAGGTAAGCCAATTTAAGGACAAGTGTGATTCTAAACAAGAGACAGCAGTATGAGAGCTAGACAGATGAGGAAACTTCGGTCTACAGGGAAATTGGGAGGAAATGGCGGTGGACTCTGTGAATAGATTACCATGAAATGGGCAGTTCAAGTTTGTCACCTTCCTAACTTACTTGTCGTTCGGCCAGCCGGAAGAGCTCGTTGTCAACTTTGATGAAGCCTCCCTCCGCCAACTCGCCTACCTCGACACGATACCAAGTGTTCTGCACGACCGGCCTGGGATGAACCAGACTGTGGATGCGCGCTTCTTTGCCGGTCGCCTTAGTGTCTATCAACACTGGCAAGCTGCCGTCAGCAAGTGGCCGAAGTGCTTTGATGGGAAGGGTCTCTCGGATGCTGGTGTATCTGATCAAGGCAAAGTTGATGAAATCAGTCCTTTAGAGAATTAGTACAAAGTATTCAGCAGAATTGTAGAAGAAGGTTCCGAGACTATGAGTAATTACTGAATAATAATTTAGTTACCCTAAGCTGCTTATGGGGATGTGTGCAAGCTGAAGAAAATGAAATCGGAATGTAATTAAATAAACTCATTAGATATGAAAAAAGCAACTACCAGTCCAACATCAGCCTAAGTTATTAGAACTGATTGGGGGGCATAGTTATGATGTTTCAATGGTCTTAAAATCTATTATTCGGTAGTGTTGTCGGTTATAATTTTGCCCTATCCATACTAGTTTCTGGCCTGCTCACTCACATAGAAAATAGGCAAAATGGTCAATTGCAAGAATATATATATATATATACGAGATATGTTCACTCTGTTTCGTTTAAGCTGAAGAAGAGATGGTAGTTGAATTTTCTCACAATGATATGAATGGACCTTATGTTTCCGTTAAATTCGACATAGCCTTGCTTTCCAAAAGGTATGCTCATCCAGGGTGGACTGCAGTTTTGACAACGCATTAATCTCATCAGCTCTCCTAGCGGGACTCGAAACATGGCATGGAAATAACAGTATAATCCCACTACAGATGTAATATGGAAAACTGCCTGACCTTCCTTGAAATTCACATCGGCCCCATCACCCAAGGGCACTCGTGTCAATATGACGTAATTGCTAACATGTTGAGATTATACACTGCAATGTTAGGGTTCGAGTCCCGCTTGGGGTACTGATGATACTTAGACGAGGTTGAATAGGAAGTCCATTCTGGATGAGAATAACTATTGCGAAACAAGGCTATGTGAAATATAACGGAAATGTTAGTTATACTTATAAAATTGTAAGAAAATTCAATTACCGTTCCTTCATCACCTAAAACGAAATAGGGTGAACAAATCTCAAATATCTGATCTACTGGTAGTCTTGAGACCCTAGTTACAAACGAAAAATAGTAGACATATGCGAGTTCAAAGATGCCTGATTTTTCTTGAATGTCTCATCTGCCCTTTAACTTATTGGCACAAGTGGCCATATAATAGAGTGGTTAAATTTGCCATGAATCTCATAGTCCGGTAGTGAATGTCACTGAGGATGCTGATGAGACCTGGGCGAGGTCAAAGATGCTGTCCAGCCTTTTGGATGCAGGTCTGAGGTAAATTTAATGACAATGTGAGACTTGATCATCTGATCGTGGAAAAACTCAAATATTAGCCTTAAACGACCACGGCCGACTAAAATCTTATTTGAGAAATACTGAAAATCTTGAAGCATACTTAATTTAAAAGCAAAATGAAATAAAAGTTCTTTGTTAGACTGTATTCTAGCCATTTTTTCTGGCATATGTTGGATTTTAAGACTATCTATGAAGCAAATAACTTTTGTAAATATATAAGTAGAGTTTCGAGACTACCA